CCACTTAATAATGTCATTTCTGCCGATCAATCTTGTTTATTACATTGACCATCACTATTTCTGAGGCCATAAAATCAAAAAAGAAGGTATTCAATGACAAAACTATATTTAAAATATAGTAAAATTGTTACCACTCACACCTTAGTTATTTTTCTCGTATTCATTTCGGAATCCACTCAAAATTCTGACCTTAATGATATACAATTATTGTTAGCTTCAGGCTAGAAGCTTATAGTATACTGTTATCTAAATAAAGGGATGGGCAATCAAAAAATGATCTTAAAATAAACGTTGTTCTTCTGTTTGATTATTGACATATTAAGACCCGTAAATTTATCAAGTAGTTAGTCCAATCACTATGTGATTCACGTTAGGGTCAAGGGTAGAATACTAGACAATGAAGGTTGTTTTATTTGCGGACCTAGAGTGAATTAAGTGTCTTAGAAATGTTTGGTATATACCAAGTCATCGCACGCCTTGATCTATAATGTTTCTCGAAGAAACTTCTGGTTGGTATGAAGCTAAGGGTTTGCAGACTAGGACTGCTGTTCCAAGCCACAGAGAAAAGTCTAAGCTGCTTGACTAGGATAGTGGCGATGCTAAGAATCAATAGTAGCAAGTGTTTTAGGGTATTTCTTAGCGTTGATTGCAGTCGAAATGAACCACATACTGTTTGTTAGCTAGGAAATCTAAAACATTTGAAAATACTGATTCATTTATCCTCCTTTTCTTCCACTTTGATGTTCTTTTTCAATCCACCTCCTATTTGTGTAATACTACAAACTATGGTAAATTTAAAAAATGCATTTCTATGCATCGTTCTGCCTTGATTCGTCTGTCTCTATGGTAATCTAGAGTATGACCACTTTTGATGACTAAACTGAAACTCATTTAGATAACTCAAAGCCCCTAGTTCCTTCAAGAAACTTCAATATGAATGAAAATTACTCACATGTTATAAACATTGTGAATAAATCTGGGGTAAACATAAAACAAATGTATTAATTTCATAGATTATTCAGGAACATAGTAGATAAATGTCGATAAAAGCGAAAGAAATAAATGCAGTATAATCGCCTTGAGTCGAAAATATGATGTAAGAAGTGGTTTGACATAGTGTGATGCAATCGATCTTTTCGCTAAACAGAGGTGGAAAATCGAGATCTACTCAGCAAACTTGGGCACATTTGTACGGTAGGCAATGAGCTACAACTATTGTTTGAGGGTTGTTGATACTACTTACCTGCTCCAAACTCTGTAGGTGGAGCTGGGTCCGAAGCCATGACTTGTCAGTTAGAAATCAAGTCCCTAAACTAATGAGCCACACCTCGACTAGAAGTGAAAATATTTTGGAACTTCTCAACAAGGGCAAGCTGTTTTAAAGGCATGAATGTAATGATATTCTATTTCCATTTTCAAAAGGTATGATGGGAGGAGTTGGTTTGGCAGGTCAAACATCCCAACAGTCATCTAATCAAGTGGTCTATAACTAGTGTCATGTAGTATGAAAAAGATAATCTGACAAATGAGTAAACTGAGTAGATGCCTGACTTTGAGCAAACTTTTCTCTGGAGATTACATCCAAGTACTTCAGGGAATCAAACGAAGCCCTAACACCTTAGTGGTTAAGTCTGAGGTGTCTGTAATGTGATTGAGATTCGAGTCATCAAGAGAACATCAGTCTCCTCATATTGGCAATTATATCTTGCTGTTGAGCATCAACAATCAACAAACCTAGATCCACAGCTTTCTGCTAAATAACTCCTTGCATCTGCGATTAAGTTAATTACTTTTGCAAAACGGTTTGTTGGGAAAATGACGCAGAAATTCTACTGCACACTACAAAACTAAAAGCTAATGTGATTCCATTTCTTTTCAAGTACATTACACAAATTTGAGCGAATAAAACGAACTCATTCCATTTCATGACCTTTCATCAGATGCTAATAGCATACAATTGAAATGAAGTATTAGTAGTGGTAATGGCATAACATACTTTCAGTGTGCAGAAATAAATGGAGATTTGAAATCCAGGATTAACAATAAGGTGGTGAGTCAAAGAAACACAGAAATAATAATCACAAATCTTAGTCAAAATCAGTGGCAATTTATATCTGATAACTTTTCCATCAGTGGTATTTTCTACCTTTAGTTAACTATTGTTGTCTGAAGACAAAAACGTAATGAAAACCGACAGAAATAGTATTATTCAGTCTGGTCTCAGGTTGGTAGTCATCATCATTCGAAACCTGGGAGTACTGGACAGGCTTTACCTTGTATGGGACTCTGGCAATGCACACCTGTAACCTTGATAGGGATCGGAACAAAAAAGTCGACATCCCGTGGCCAACACGCTACCATTGAGCCACTGGGTGGGGACCCAATGGTCCATTTTTCCTACTTCTGTTAGTTCAAGATATAGCGCGACTCCCAGATTGAATTAATCTAGCTCTCATTGGTGGCTAGCTTTGAGAAGTGATTCCTGAAGTTCCAGTGAGAAGGCATGACAAGTGGAGCCAACCAAGTCGAATATGAGGACAGTTACTCGACTACTACATTGGATGGAAGTCGCGCTGTATCGTGAACTGACAGAAGTAGGAAATAAGAACCACTGGGTCCCCACCCAGTGGCTCAGTGGTAACGTGCTAGCCACCGAACCTGAGTGTTATGGATTCGATCTCTCGCGGCTGGGGTCATGGGTGTCCACTGTTGAGAGGTACCATGCTAAGACGAAACAAATGTCAGATGCGCCGAGGTTTCCAATGTTTCTCCAAATGATATCAGTCCACGATGAATTCCAACCAGAAATGGTATAAGTGGATTTATTTGATAAAATAATGTCGTCATATGATGACTGGTTACAATAGCGAACTTGCTAACACAACTACCACAACCGAACTGGTACGAAAAGACAACAGGTATTATTAAATTTCGTAATTACCTATTGTTTATCAATAAAATATGTAGCCTAAATGAAATGTTTGTGTACCATAAATCAGATGGTATGCTGTTAATGGACAATAATTTAAAGGTCAGTTAGCAGCTGATAAATCATTATCATTCAGTGAATGACCGAATTTCATCCACTTTACGGAAATTACTTTCTAATGACCATAAAATATGTAGCTGCGAACACTGTCGATGAAGAGATGAACTATCCTACCTAAATTAGCCATTTTAAATGCTCAGAAACGGATTGCATATTCAACCGTATCAGTTTCTGTGTGAACGTATGAAATATTTGATTTTACCATCAAACGAAAATTCGAATTGAAAATTAAGCACGACTGGCTGAGAATACAAACGCAAACACAAACCCTTAGCCTTATTTATCCAGACTGGTTTGATTTCAACTTTTTGTTTTGCCTATCAGAAAACATCAGAAAACAAATTCAATGAAGCTAATAAAGATATTTGACTACACTTATTAAACTGTATCACTTTGCTGAATTCGAGAAGTGGAAATACATATCAAGTATTTATATGCCTTTGTGAAGCAATTCGAAACTAAGAAAGATAGTTACCACGCATTTTAACTGTATCCTGCTGGAAGAATGCTACATCGGTATTTAAAGCAGCTGATTACTTGAAATACAGGTATGAGTAGTCAGCATGTCGTAAATTGTTCACTTAAGATATCGGTATAACTCTCAACTAGTTCGCTACACGAACCACAAGCAATATTAGTTTAAAAAGTTGGAAAGTCGTCGCAAATGCCATTGAAAGATGATCGCGCAAAGTGTATAAACAGTGCCCTTGCAGCAAATAATGACCTAATATTTGTTACAGTGAAAAAGGAGCAATTAAAAAGTCTACTAAGGGTTCAAGTTATGGCAAGCAAAGAACATTTCTTTCTGATTTCTCTTGAGACTTGTTATCGTACTTAAAATGAAAAATTAGAAGTAACTCAAACTAGCCTTCATGCGGAAACGCAAACTAGATAGTCAGTTATTCGTGAATGAATATTAAGGGTAGTAATGACACAAACCAAGTTGAATATGTATGGCAAAAATGTAATACAATATGATGAATATTAAATTTGGTTTGGATGGCGAAAAAATAGAGTGAATTGTGGAAAGTATGTCCGCACTGGCAAATAAATCCCTAAAATCGAAACTGATAGTCCAACAATATTCGACACCAATACAACTTATGATGACATCAACGAACTTGTTGAGACAAAGAGAAGTGGTTGGACGCCCATGCCATTTGCAAGTCATCGTGATGTTGCGTTGCCAGTTCACGCTCTTCTAGCTACAAGTCTGTGCTTATCAGTTAATTTGCTACGATTCGACAAGTAAAGAATCTGTACCCAACATCCGACCTGATGTTCCTCAACAGTTGTACACTTGTGTGTCTTGAAATAGTACAACCAGTTAGTGGTTGGCATCTGCATCTGTCTACATCAATTTAATCTATCTTTAAACATTATTGGCATTCAGATTGCTTTTTCCTCATAAATATTTCGTCTGGTGTCAAGTTGTTGCTAAAAAGAGGGAAAGGTGACGACATAATATTGATGGTGCTTGGTGGAACCAGACGTTTATTCCACATCTAGATTCACCTCAAACATGTCATCATCTTATGATGAATAGTGAAATGTAACCACCTGATTTCTTGGCAACAGAAAAAAACTTTATGAGGCTAACTGCATTGTTTTAAAAGCCAGTAAACACTCAACTTAAGCAACCTTAACACTGCACATTCATATTACTCGCAACATCAAAATAACTTCATATCCTACATGAGCGCATTGCGTCACTAAAAGTCTTAGGACTTATGTAAATTGTTTACCTCATGCGAACAAATATAAACATTTGAAATAGTCATAATTATGTAATACTAAGCAATTTGTTCCACTTTTAATAAAGTGTCAGTTATTATCTGCAGCAGTTTGCGGCCTGTTTGGTTAATAGCAAAAACTATAGTAAAATGAGTCACTAAAAAAAATTAAATGTAGTGTACACTTAGTATAAAACACTAAATTATTTTACTCTTACTCATTTGTATTTTCGAAAAACATCTGAACAGAGGAAATATACAAAAATATATTACGATATAGTGATCTTTGAAAATCAAGAGGCGTTTGATCCTGAGGTGGTTTGAGTAAAGTCCTCGACCAACAAGCATCAAAATGATCCCATAAAAACGTACAATTCCCTTTTTCAGATACACTTGTGTTTACACTCATACTCTGACAACCTGTGCCAAGATCGAAGGTGTTTCTATTTATTGGACCTATCCATTTATTAACACTATCAATATACCATACACCGGGATGTAGGTTAGTAATATGTGACGTTAGGTACGAATGTTCTGGAAACACCTCGACCAGTGACTCAGCACCACGTGGCACACATTGATTTATTACTGTAACCATTCCGTCATTGTCTTTTAATGGATCTACATTAGAGCTAATTGTTTGTATCTTCTGTATAATGTTTCTTGTACTTTCGTTCAAGTATTCATTACAGCTTTTGTCTAAGAGAATGGCAGCGAATGGCCATAGGATGGGTGACATTTCCGGAGGGATGCATTGTTTGGATGACATAGTTGCACTTGAAAAAAGACAAAGATAAAATGTTTTCTTGTAAATAAACTTCGGAATGTAATCTACGGGACAATCAACTTCTGATGAGTTACAGAAAAACTTTTCGAGTTTGGAAATACCTTCAGAGGTCTGGTCGTAAATTATGTTATCACGTGAACCAAATATTCCACATTTTAGACTAGAACCCAATTTATTTATAACTTCATCATCTGACTGAGATAGAGTACTGTTATCAGTGTCAGGAACCCAATGATCTGTGGGCCAATTCAGTGCTTGACGAAGTTGGTCAGAGCTGAGTTCTAATTTGGACATTGCTGCCCATACAACCGAACGACTGAGAATTTTTGCCGCTTTTTGAATCTTTACATTTAGACAAACAGAACACCCCTGGTTTTTGCACTGTTCACAGAGAAAATGTTTGCCAATTAGATGTATCAATTCACGGCTGATAACATCGGAGACAGCACTTTCATTCGGCGCCCCATTGATAGAAGTAATCGACAAAATCCACTGAGCACTTGTATTCTTATTCCAAAAGTCAATTTCAAGAAGCTTTTGGAGAACTCTGGCAGTATTTATGGCTCCGGAGTGGCAAATGAAATGAACAGGATTTGAAGATCCCCAATCTGGAAAGAGTCCTCTTTTATGACTATAATCTTTTCCCCATCGAGAATGTTTGAAAATATTAGAATGCTCTGATCCATAGTCCACCACCGTCCCAGTTAACTGCGCAAACACTTCACATGCTCTGTCGTGGTGAGAAGCAATAGGACTTGGATTAGCTGACAAAATTGAAAGATTCGATGGGCAAATAGAACTATCTAAGGCACTCTCCCAGTATCCGTCCGTCAAACCCCATCCAGGCAATCCTGGTAAAAGTATTACTTTACCTTTTGACATAGTTGATAGAAAATAACCATCCAAAAAGTGTTATTTCCCAGTCTCAATGTAATTAAATTACTTTTCACGGTCTAAGAATATTCTAATTAGTGCCAAACCTGAAATGTAACGACATTACAGTGTTTAGAATATTATGAGATAAAACAGTAACAAGCAGTCACATTTGACACTGTTCTCTTTTGAAGGTTATATTCAATAAACAATGATTATGATTTGTAATATTTTCTCAAGTATAAGGGTAATAGACCAGATGTCCATTAACGGTCACTTTAATTTCAATTTGTGAACCTACATGAAATCTACTGTTAACTATCTACAGACAAGAGTGAGTCTAAATGCTTAACTCCAGTTTTCCAATTCACATTTGGCTTCATTCATCACTACTGTCGCTAATCATTCCACTACAGCTAAAATTAATTTCAGTACACAGAGTTTAACTTAAAAACGAAGTCACTTATAGCCTAAACAATGGGGCAATCGTAGTGATCCAGTTCACCGGTCGAAGCGTGCTTGCAAAAATCGTGATGCACTGCGTGAATACCTTACCTGCGAACAACTGCATAATGTCACTTCAATGAAACTCAATATTAAAATATCCAAATACATTAAACCTTTCCAAGTATTCGGTCCCACGCTTCACGTATGACTCTTGTGACGTTGATGACTCTGTGGAACCAAATCAAAACGATAGCAACTCCGTTGTTGAGGCATTGAATGTGAATCAGAGCCAACGGTAACAGCACTATCCAGATTTGTATCCTCCATCGAACGGTAAGACTGGGCAGTCCAATGAAACTTTCGTTGCTCGTAGATAGCATTCTTGTCTCCAGAGAAGGGGGATTCTCTCTTGGGCCGTTTTAATATTGGTAGAAGTTACTAGTATTGGCTAGTGTCGGCATACACCGCCTACTGTCTGCAGAGAGGTGTTAAGTGGGAGTTAGGCCTGCAAATCCCTCGCAGGTAGCTCCGCGCCCTATCCACTGTATTGGGGTACCTAAAAACAAAATAGCTATGAAAAAATCGGGAACATCAGGGACTTTTACGGCGGACTGTCAAAGTGAAAAATCAAACTATCAAGATGTAAGTTAGTAGCAGTCACCTCAGGTGACGTTGCTTCGAGACGCTCCGAACCTTCACAAGGTCTGGTCTGGTTTCTTCAATTTACTCTGTCAATTATTTGTAGTCAGGATTTAAATGCGAGTCAGAGGGTCGGCTATCCATTGAACTTTTCGAAATAATTTTCGCAGTGACAGTGGCCAGAATAGAGTCAGTTGAATCGAGTATGCTATCCTATTTCCGCGAAGAAGTTTAGAAATTTGGTCACACTTGAATGCCGAAATGTGTAGTAAGGGCAAGTGGAAACTATGAGCAAGTGCAAAAGTGGACGAGATCACCACTTAAGGTACATATACAATCTTGATAAATCCACAGATTAATCACAAGTTCTCCGTGCTTGTCAAACAGCGTCCAGGAGGGATAAGGTGGGTTCTTCCGATATCAGTCCTATTTTTGACAAACCGTGTCAATGTATTGAGATGGGATATCTGGGTAGAGAATTCTGAACGAGCTAGGCAACCCAGCATGGCAACGTACCGAGTTGTGATTACTAGGCTGTGGATCTTCACACCAACATGTCTGCCCAAACCATGAGTGTCGGCATCAACGTTGGGTGTCATCGGGCCTAAGGTGATTGATTTTGCTCTACAATTCAGCACCAAATTATCTCTGATATGCAGTGGTTTCTTTGAGTGAAACCAACTGACTTTCAACACCGTGAAGCCGACGTCATGTCTGGAATGCTACCCGTAATACTGAATAGGTTAAGAAAGGACAGCGTGCAAATCGCGTATAGCACTCGCGTCCTCCTGCACTTCCACTCACTACATGTGATGTCACACAATCAGTATCCAAGCAGAATATTATTGGGGGTAGTAGCATGATATGACAGCTCTATTAAACTGTCAATGGCCAGATTAAAATGTGTGGGACTTACACCAACTTGGCTATAGGAAGGATCCGCGCAAATTTATGGGCTTGCACTTATTATAAGGGGGCCCTGAATACCCTTTACGTGCACGGCTCGAGAAAATTGACCGCAGCGGGCTCAAGAGACACCCGTTGTAGCTGGAAGTACAGCCTATGGAATACGAAACCCAAAGATTTTTCTCATCAGTTAAAGCTTCAAGAGCTCAGAACTGTCATATAAGTAAAATCGCTGGTTCCATCAGCATTATCCTCAAAAAGCACTAGACTCACAGAAGCTGTCTGTTCTGTGGCCTGTAATGCCAAGGCACCAGGAACAGTAGTGACTGGTTCAGCCTAGCGATTTAATTACGCTAAAAGGTGTCAGCCAGGAAAATGAAGCTCCATGGAGACGTTAATACCTAGAGAACTGAGCGACTTGCTATTTCCAGAGGTAGATTTCTTATCCTACACGTCATTCTGCATCAAAAAATGAAAGGTCCGGACTACAACCGAATTATTCTCGAACGCGGATGCTGACTACTCACCGTACACTCGCAAAAACATAAAGACCGGCGGTTGGTAATCCCACGTCAACTTAAGTTCAGCCACTAGTATGCGGTAATTTCTGTGGTGAAATTTGATTCAGCCACCAGAAAAAACCTTAAAAAACCAGAGGGAATCTGTTGCGGGGGTTCATTTTTCACTGACGACATAAGTAAATTAATCGAGCTGCATCACATTTCGGCTGCCTTAGTTTGCAGGGATAGTTTCAGTTCCTACAGATTAGCTTAAGCGCACAAGGCTACCCAATCTACGATCAGCTCTAGTCGCCGATAAGTGTATTAGAGAGCCTGGGACACTAGGAAACCATTTGTCTTCCACTTTGTTCAGCTATTTTCCATCCCATTGGACAGCTAATGGGGAAAACCGCCACGAACTGTCAGCCGGTCAGAGACGGACTTTAGATCAACTTTGGAAAGACAATTTTTAGGAAGACCTGCGTTAACCACTTCGTAAAAGCTGACACCTAATTAAAAGATCTAAAAAGGTGTAAATCCCCCTTCAATTAATTAGAATCATGACAGCGCAACAGTAGTCATGAGCATCAGGAGAGAGTAGGTGGGCAGAAGCTGCAATTACTTCAAAGCAGAGGTTTCGGAGCGCGGGATGCCATGTCGAATCTACCTGTGAGTGAACGTTGCATTCATTTATGACTTAAAATCACAGTGATAACGTTGTTTAAGTAAGTTGTTGAGATGAAGACAATCACTTTATTTGGCGCTCGTTCAAATAAAACAAGGGATGAAAGCAAACTGCAAACTTGAAAGTGAACACTCCAAGACTGGTGTGAAGCTGACGTATCTGTGTGACTCCAAGCACACTGGATACCAGTCGTGATTTCGCCAAAATAAAGGTATGAAAAATCCCATGCCCGGGGTTGTCATCAAAATGGTAAACATATTTGGTGGAATGGAATTTACTGAAGTAGGCACCAGCAAAATATATATTTCATGTAATGAACGCTTTCATCCTAGGTGACTCTTTGCCTGCCATGCCCTGACTGTAAAACCAACAGCACTGTAGGAAGAACTTGAGAGCGAAGATCGATGAAAAATTCACTGTAAGTAAAATCAGAGATTTTTACGTATGCCGAGGTTACAGCCTGAGCGAAGTGTCCACCAGCTGTTGCGTGCTGCAACTATATATGGTATGCTGGACAGCTTAGAAAATTACACGGAATCAAATGTGTGAAATGCTACCCGAAGAAGTGCCGTTTGCCTCTGGCTTCGCACATAATCTGCTTCATATAGTTCATCAGCTGAAGTTCCACACACTCATGAGGGGCATAGGCCTGCACTGGCAAACAATTCCCTAAAATTGAAACTGATAGTCCAACAATATTCGACACCAATACAACTTATGATGACATCAACGAACTTGTTGAGACAAAGAGAAGTGGTTGGACGCCCATGCCATTTTCAAGTCATCGTGATGTTGCGTTGCCAGTTCACGCTCTTCTAGCTACAAGTCTGTGCTTATCAGTTAATTTGCTACGATTCGACAAGTAAAGAATCTGTACCCAACATCCGACCTGATGTTCCTCAACAGTTGTACACTTGTGTGTCTTGAAATAGTACAACCAGTTGGTAGCTGGCGTCCGTGTCCGCTCAGTTGAAGTGCATAAAACTTCCCAGATTCTATGGAAGTTGCTGAGTTTTTCGATCGTGCTCGCCGTCAAGCTGGACTTTCTTCTTGGTTCACTCAGTTTCATCTTCAGGTGATTACATTCCGACTTACCCTTGATGGCTTTTTGGACCTAATTAGACCTCATATTTATCATGTGATATTTTATTGACCACGCTATTTTTCTAATCCGAGTCGATAAAATCTCTTCACTCACAACCTCCTTCAACACCTGGAGTGGCGAACTCACTCTATTAGGACGGACATTTATGCAAAAGTAGATATACGGTAACAGACACCGCTCCAGTATTGAAGTGAGCAGGTGACGCGGGATGTATTGTCAGCGTCAAAAGGCAAAATATGTCGCACAGTTGTGCAAGGCTTCGCGGGGGAAAATGATCCAAATGCGAAGCATTTATTTGAATATTTTTGTCCTCGTTGTGGATAGTGTGCCCTTGACCCCAGTCGACGTAATGTTATTTGGTTATTTGACTATCTTCTTTGACTTCGCGCTCTTTATTTGCCTTTGTGTGATTGAGGCTTATCATAAGGGTCGTACTTTCCTATTACGTGACGCTAGACTGTTGACAAGGTGGTGTTGTTTTACTGCACCTGGCATTTTCTTTTGGTTCAACTTACGGTTGTACTGCGATTCGACTGTTTGTCTTTTGACTGTCTACTGGAAAAGTTTATTTGTTGATTTGATTCTGGTAGACAGAGTCTTGATCCCTTTGTCGGAAATATTCTTGCTGACTCTCGGGTTCCTAACAGTTGCACTTGTTTAACCAGTTTTTACCGTGTGGTGCGTATTTGTGCCTGAGAACGTTCGGACTGTACAGTTACCCAACGGC